GTGAACTTGTACAAAATCATGTTTTCATGGGAAGTGATGAATTGTCCTAACCAAAATAACAATTAATTCAGATATAGCAATATATCTAACATTCCTATCATATGTTGATACCACGATAATACATTGATAATACTGTCTTGTTAAATATACCTTATTGTCAAAGAATGCAGCAATAGTGTCGTCATCGACGGCCAAAGAAAATATGGTGATGATAGAGCATGCAATTCCGGAAATTGACCGTCTCCAAAAATATTAAATTCTAAAATTGAGTTATTGGCCATTTTCGCGCCAGACGACTATTGAAAAGGCTACATAATATATATAAAAGACTTTTTAAAGTCTCCGTAAGTGTAACATATCTACTACGATACAATGAGATTATTATTGTTGAAACCATAATGAAATGTACATCACAAATAGGATTATTTGAGTGCACCGACGACTTTCGCAATGCTAAAACAAATATTGATTCAGGATTTGGAAGATTTGAAACAATTTATAAAATTATAAGATTACTAAATAACTGTTGTCGGTTTGTATGTTTGTTCAATGTTTTTTATTGGGTATTAAAGTTTCAACCCTCTCCCCCACACCCCGCCAAGTGTGACTGGGGAATAGAAATAAAGTCATTACATGTCTTCTTCCGATCCGCAGTAAAACCTTTTCCAAAGTGGGGCGCCCGTTTGGCAATGCAGGATGTACAAGTACAAGTCCGCAGCTACGTCCGGACAGAATGGGGATGTTAAATCTGATGCCTCATGTAGAGAGATTGTCAAACCCTTGCAACAATTTTATGAGAGGTATACGTATGTAGCCTTTTGCAAGGATAAATTTCTTTTCCAATATATACCTTCAATTTGCAAATGTAATCTAAACTTACCCGACCTACGGGCTCTATTACTTTGTATTTATTGTTAATTTGTTCTCGTCCTAAACATGGATGAACTATTTGCAACTGGACGTTTAGAAACAAACAATAGATCAATCAATCAATCAAATTTCAAACAAACAAATCTTTCAGTTTACAAAACAAAAAAACAAAAAACATATAGTATTTTGAACTAGTTAAAAATAATGATTTCGGGGTGTTTTTTATTTATCATATTTGCCAACCTCTGAGGATGGCAAAACTTATTAGGTGTAAAATAATACTAGTCATGAGAGTAAATAACATTTTTTAAAAGGGATTTAAATTGACACAAGGGTCCATTTATAACGCACACGAAGACAACTTCAAATAATTACAACTATATAAATTTTAATCCTCTCCAATTTGCACATACTCATGGCATCCTCTGACATGTTTTTTGTTTTTTTGCGATTGTTGAAATACGTTTCAATTATTTAAGTATTTCAAGTTACACTGACTTCACAAAATACCCAGAAGACAAATGATATGATCAGTAATAAATATTATTTAGATGATGGTACGTCAACTTTTTTTATTTCGGAATGTTGATATATTGCCTTTCCGTTTTGCTAAGCTCACGTGGAAAAATATGGTATTTCTGTCCTCCCAATAATAAACCTATAGGTCTTGTTTTATAAACTTTTAGAATGTAGAAACTATTTCGGCTAGTTATATACCTATTGGTATAGTGTAGAAAACAGTTAACATGAAATCACTGGCAAATAAGTTATTTTGTACCTATCAAAAACTTAAGCTTTGTCCCAATTTCAACATGAGTAGAGAACAAGCCATAGTAGTTTGAAACATGTCACAAAAATTAGTAGCCGTAAGTGTGTTTAAATCAAAATTTCAAAATGATATTCTCCTTATCTTATCAGATTTTACCATAATGTGATACATGTACTCAGCAAGGTGAAACGTACTTTATATCAATGTGTACGCGTGAGTAGGATGATCTGGTCCAACTTTCCCATTTTTACCAAGAAAGTTGGACCCTAACCAGTATGCAACTCAGGTGACGTGGTCTGTTGGATAATTTGAACGTTTTTACATGAGTCTGTTGTTGTTTTCGGTCTGTAAACTCGTTGATTTCCGTATAAATTTGCAATTAGTAAATGTAATGAGCATCAAAGATGCAATAGCCGAGTTGCAACTACAATTTGATTATCAATATATCAATGTACTTAACTTTAATTTCTTTTGAAGTATCAACTTTTTATCACAAAATATTCGTAAAAAACTCTTTTGTCTACACATCTTTTTTTTTTAATTTGGGCCGAGGTTCTCTACATCTAGCCTAATTCGATTGGTCTGGGGGCATAAGCCAACTAAAATTAGTGAAAAAAAACTGATTTGAAATTGATCATCAATCATATCAATATAAAAAGCGTCAATATCTATGCTATCACCCTTGTATTAACTCCGTAACTCATTTAAACCTCATTGTCAAAACAGAGTCTTGTATATCGAATGCACCTTTTTTTCTATTGTAGAAAACATTACATTATTAATCATCAATTCAACGTGAGGAGTTAGCTATACAGAGACAGGAAATATCTCATGTAAACTTAATACAGACGATGTGAATTACTTAACTTCAACATGCGTTTTTATGTTAGATTTATGTTTTTAATGTACTATGTATAAACAGCAGCTCCCGTTTCGTACGATTCGTCAAGTTACGCATTCGTTCGTCAATATCCTGGTCATCTCTAGATAAACCTTCCTAGTACATTCAGAACGACCGATGAAGTTATTCCAATCAAAACAAGCTTATCAACATCTCATTTAAAAGAAACAAAAAACGAAAACATATAGATTGAATAATGAAATATTTACAATGTACATATAGTGTGAAAAAGTATCCTCACACATAAAACAAAACAATACATATCGCATGCAAGACATCAAATTCACATTATTCCAGCATCTATCGCGGCAGTTGCACTAGACGAAAGAGTGCAGATGTAGTATAAATAAATTTAACATGTTCTTTGAATAACGATTACAGAGAAATTTACGAGTTACTTGAGTATACATCAAATAGAAACATAACTCGAAGAGTATGGAATGTAACCTCGAATGAAGTGAATTGAATGGCAAAGCGAGTCTTTAAGACAGCTGGCATTTGTAATACAGGAGCGCCAAGCATAACCAAGAACAGTAGTGTGTTACATCGGAATAGTTCTTTATTCGGGACATGTTTAACGCTGACCCAGCCAATGTCAAACAATAGGTAAACTCAAGTATACCTACTCTTCAATTAATTATCATTTACTTAGGGATATGTTTTGGCCACGAGCATTACTGAAGAAACATTTATTGTCGATATGCGCATCTGGTGCAGATCAATTGGTACCTTTAATGTGATAACTTCGAGTAAAAAAAAAACATTTGCAAACTAAACATGTATAAAAAAAAACTTTAAATGGATAAGCAAAAAAAATGATTCGTCCAACCGACAAGAGGGCTGTTAAGTTATCTATTTTGTTTCAAGGCTGCCTGAGAACTCACGTAATAATTTTGTGACAAGAAAGTAATGGGTGAAATTCTATATTGCCCCTACATATACTGTAACATGTTGCTAAGGCAAAAACCACTATCTCGAAGGTGATGAGGACGTCTGTGGGTCAATTGATAACAAATGAAAGTGATACAAAATAAACATTCTCAATTTTATGTAAAACCAATTGTCAATGCAATTAACTGCAGCCAAACAAACGTTCTGAATTCACTTTAGACGATATTCGGGATCACTAACGTCGAAATTGACAGACCTGTTATATCAATCAAACGAAGGCTCTCAAAACAGCCTGATAAGAAAAATTGCAGACGGCGATAAATTTAGACAAACAAAAGTGATAAAAGTGTCAACAGACAGCTGCAGGATCATAAACACGTTCACAAACTTTAATTTATGAACATATTAATACTCATCAATTTGTTGAAAGATGATCAATGAACCTGATTTTGAAAATACCTTTTAAAATTAGAGTTTCAATAGCAAGGAATATTTAGTCATTTTTAAATCGTTTCATGTCTAAAAAAGGTTATATTTGTTAATGTGAGAACAACAACCTCACAAATGAAATAAGAGCAGCCAACACCGTATAAATTAACCTTGCTTGAGAGACCTTCAACTTAAATGTTAGCACAATGGAAAAAATCGAATATGTTGCCGAAATTTAATTATTTTAATTAAAATTATCATTTTCGCTTTCTTTCACATCATATAGAAAGAATTCCAAAATATGATATAGCTTGAAAACTTATGAAAAAGTCCTGGTGTTAGACAACAAATTAGGGGGAATTATTTAACTTTGTTTTGACATATCAATTATGCAGAATCAGAATTGTTCCGACACTTTGTTGCTTACAATCTATCAGGCCCGATAACGCCAATTTGTATCTTTCATTGTCAGATGTAGTCCCTTGTGTGGACATGCATTCCGTTCTTATATTATATGCAATTAGGATATATAGAAATGCAATTACACTATTAACAATTTTGGTCGATTCTTGAAAGCTGAAATTCAGAATATCGTTAATTCTATGCAAATCGTACATCTAAATGATTGATTGGTAGTTGTCAAAGATATGGAAAACGTCATTTGAAATGGGTCGTTTTGTGCACTTCGCTAGTGTAAAATTGTCCACTGAATTCATGTATACGTGTACGAAGGGGGATATAAAGTATGTCGTTTAATACCAGTGCTTTTTAAAAGTCAATATTTAACCAAAATTTAAGCGGTCAATCCATTTATCGAGGGCAGTTACCAATTTGTAACTGACCAAATGATTTATACGTACATACCCGTTTTCATTAGAAAGTGAAATCTTCTAGTTAATTTTATTCAACGTACATGTACCGTATAATTATTTAATAACATGCATTGATATTTAATGGTTTTGTCTTACGAAATATATATATATAAAACAGAAATAATATGATCTGATATGACACGTTGATAATTTAAACCTTATTCCTGGGATTTAAACTTAGTTAACACGAACAAAATTACTCCTTGATATTTTTAAATTGGAAAGTCCTTAATAAACACAGAAAATGTCGATCAATTTCCATAATAACCAGATAGAAGGAAACCAGCAAGGTTTTCAGACGTAATTTCGATATCATTTTAACATTAAGACATGGATGTAAGTAATAGAAAAATATATTTCAATTATAGTTTCTTTTTCTGGTATATTTTACCATTTTGAATATCTTTATTAATAGAGATTAAGTAATTACATAATGTTGAGAGTGTAGTCAGTACAAGTTGTACGTATTTACTTTTAATGCACTGGTTTATGATAATTTGTGTTCTATCGAATAGGCAACATCATTAGAAATAGAAAATGGAAACAAAGCTTCAAAAATATCAGTAGTCCGAAGCGTTTGGTTAACCTTCATCAGGAACGCTCAAAGCCGAATATTTGAAACCCAAGGATGAAGAACAGAAACAGTCAAAGAGCTATATGTCAAAAAGGTTCATTCAAAAATACCCTCATGCAATTCCAGACTAAACTAAACTGTGAATAGAGATTATGAAACAATCCAAAGAGCTAAAGACTTGTTCGTAATGGAATGCCTCATGTCTCCATTGTAATTAAACAATCATGCGCGATCGATTACACAAGCAATTTCTTGTTTGTCATACTGATTTGATTAGTTTTGATTATTCAGGTATATTTTTAAAATATTTTTATTGTTTTAGCCTGGACACATTATAGTACTTATTGTGGTTATTGTAATCGGCATAGTATTATTCATCGGTGTATGTGCATGTTGCATGAAGATGTGTGACACCTTATTTACTTGTTGCTCTTACTTGAAAGGTAAATATAGATCTAAAAGAACAGACAACAGAGAAGTAAGTTTAAATAACCACTAACCATATTTTAATCTAAAACCGTTTTAAAACTAATCAAAGAAGTTTGGAAAAAAATATTTGTTTTAATGTTACCGATGAATTAAAGAAAATTTTAGACATTTTAATTATTTTCAACGAATGCATGAACATGCAGTACGTGTTTTGATATACATTTTATCAATTTTCGCTTAATATATTAAAGTTTACTTCGCATATTTCAGATTTTCAAAAATGTTTTTGCACAAAAGCTAGACATTATGAATTAAGAAAAGAAGTTAACAAAATTAGCATATCACTGATTGAAAGTTTAATATAAGCAAAATACTTAAATTTATCTCTTTTTTGTGTGTTTTCTCTTATTCTTTTAATGCATCAAATCTTTATCTAGAATTTTGTTTCCTTCAGTATTAAAGAGCTGAACACTATATACGTATTCTTAAGTGTTGCATAGCTATGAAGTATCTAAACTATTTTTTCATTGAAACACAGAATTGGATAAACATGTAATAATAAAAAATACTTTCATTGTAGAAAATTCGTTATTCTGGCTTCAGCAGGCAAATGTTACAACATCAATCAACTGAGACGCAAAAGGTAGTCCCAATGTTATATGCTAAGCCTACTACAATAAAACTGACTCGAACGGGTACGTTTATAAATATAATGTCTCCAAAAATAAGGCAACTTAAATACTTTCAACTTTGATATATAAAAAGTTATGAATGAAACCATGCTTATACATTTAGTACATCACAAGCGCATTTCGTCTGCATAAAACTTGTTGAACCAACGGTTGGAAGGCCAAAGTAAAAAGGGTTTGAAAAAAACCTTAAAACTAGAATATATGTCAATAGGATATCATGCTCAGCTCGAACAATTATACACCAATGATCAGTAAAAAGGTGGTCAAATCGTGATATTGGGATAAATTTTTAAAATCGTCTCATAATGAACATGTCTACTAAGTTTAAAGTTGAATATGGCCACAAATTCATTGTTAAATAACGTAAGCAACAATTTTAACCTTATACGGAAATTATCAATTCCAAACGGATACACAGACATACTGACGGACGCAAGACGACCGGACATGCCAGAAAATAAAATAAAAAAGTCTAAACAGTTATTTCGACCTTAAAAATATAATTATTTTGAATGTTTATATTTTTTGTCTTATAGAATCTACTTGCGTTATCTGTTTGGAGCCTAAGGATGAAGCAGACATTGTCGCACTTAGGTGTGCCCACAGTAAGTATTACTGTATATTACAATTTACACATGCTTAAAAATATGGAGTACACGACAATGATTCACCCAATGATCAGTAATCATCATTTAAAAAACGCGTTTGAATCTTTAAATTGTGAGTAAACTATCAAATGTTTTTGTTATTCTTTTAAGGACATCTGATGCATACTTGTCCAGTGTACTAGCTCCGTCTTATACAGACCGAAATTTAAACAATACAACGAAGATCTCAAATATTTGCGCGAATCCAAATAACTTTTGAAATGGAATAGTACTTAAAAACCCATGTAATGTAGCTTTCATATTAGTAGATATTTGTATAAGTAAGTATGTATTTCATTTTTTAGCTTTCCATGGATCGTGCATAAGGAAATCTTTAAACAACAAACAGGAATGTCCAGTGTGTAGGACACCGCTTTATACTTTATTTATGGAAAATGTAGTATAAAACTACAGAGAGAAAACGAAACCTTCCACAATATCTTTCAAATTTGTAATATGAAGGGCGAAGACACAATTGGAAGAAAATGCTGAACACCACATACTTTATCATCTAAAGTAGACTGAATGATAGCTTACGTATTCGTTCAATTGTAAATGAAATGATTCAGAACTATGAAAAGAGAAAGAAAAGAAAAAGGAATGAATGATAAATATACAGCAAGAAGACATTGGAGAACATGTTTAACCTTACCATAGACGAATTCATGGTCTGCAGCATAGATTTCACCACCATTCACCTGTGTGAAGGGAAAATAAGCAACATATATATATGTGTATAATATGACGCAGGTTTCTTCAAAAGTGATGATTTTCTAAAAATTAATTGACATTTCACAGTGATATCATACTTTAACTTTGTTTAAACCTGTTTATTTACTTTTGACTTTAATTATTTATCCCTTGTAATTTTTTATTAACTGTGTATTTGCATTCAGGTGTCACAGGTCAAATTTATTCGTTCATTGTGTGTTAATTTAAGTTTTTTGATTGAGTTAAGCCTTCCAATTGATATTTTATAGTGTGTTTTTCTATGTTGTGATGTCATACTATTGTTTCAGAAAAGGTAGAAGGTTTGGTACCATTAAAACGTTTAATCCCGCTGCAAATGTTTGCACTGTCCTAAGTCAGGAATCTGATTACAGTAGTTGTCGTCTGTTTATGTAGTTCATACGTGTTTCTCGTTTCTCGTTTTTATATAGATTGGACCGTTGGTTTTTCCGTTTGAATGGTTTTACACTAGTAATTTTTTGGGACCCTTTATAGCTTGCTGTTCGGTGTGAGCCAATGCTCCGTGTTGAAGGCCGTACCTTGACCTATAATGGTTTACTTTTATAAATTGTAACTTGGATGGAGAGTTGTCTCATTGGCACTCATACCACATCTTCCTATATCTAACCAAAAAAAATCACAAATAACAAAGCGATTAAACAAACATTTTAGTATGTGTTGTAGTTTATTGCATAAAGATTGATTGAAATCACTCAAAGATACATGCCTTTCACTTGGTAAATATTTTTTTTATAAAATTCAGATATCATAGAAGCCAATATCTTCTATAATTCTAAGTTAAATAACATAGCATTTATAAAAAAATATTAAAAAATCTTAAGTAGGATACCAAGGACCAAATCCTCGATTATTACTTTAGATAACAGATTGTAATTATATATAGAAACAAATTTTATATCGATGACGACACTCAGATATGAGACGACTATATATCGCACATATTATTTTAAATGAGAAGATTAAAGACAACAGATAAAAAAAACAACATATTTATCAATTTAAAGTATAAATCGTCAAAGTTTGTTTTAGTACTTTTTTTTTAAATATCAGTAACATAAACAGTAAAATGAACCTTTTACAGTGTGTCGAGTAAACATACACAATGGAAAAATAAAACGGAAGTTGAATTAATAAAAGAAACACTTATATTTTTAAGCTTCAGAAATTCCCGAGTTGCAAAGAAACAGTTCATTAATAGTGATGATGCAATAAAAAAGACGGCGCAGTTCGAGTGAGATATTTTTAATAGTTACTTTAGCGAATAAAGCATTTAATGTTTGTAATTAAAAATGTTTTATTGTCCCATAAATTTAAATCGTCACGTTTTGTGCTTTATCAACATATATTTATTCATATACACCGAAGGAAACAATGCTTGATATATACATGTGTAAATATAAGACCCACCGTGACCTAAAGACAGGCCAAGTAAGTCTAAATACGGGCCACTAAATCTATGTTTTTATATATGATTCGACTAAAGGTTTTGCATTTTATTAATCAAATTTCTTACAAATACATTGTAACAATTGTAACAATTATTTGGCTTGCCAGCTGTTTTTCTTTACTCGAGCACAATTTTGTTGCCGGTCAAGTTATATCGTGTTCAGGATTAAGCTTCCAACTTACTTTTCATAACTAACTTACTGGTGCTCTGGTGATCAAGATAAAACACACACAAGCATGAAAAGGAAACTATTATAATTGTGGTTGATATTTTATAGATTTTGAAATGAAACGCCGTGAGAGTGGAAAGTGTTTTAATTATTAGACATTTTAGAAAATTATTCAATACCGACGCTTACACCTATGTATATGCTTACAGGTAACCTTTGGCATTTATATTATATTTTTTTCTAATTTACATTTTAAATACTGTATAAAACATTTATTAGTACTTTATTGACTCCGTTTAGTATAGCTAATTGACTGATCTTAATATTGCACTTTTTTAAAAAGGGGGACTTTGTGTAAATTGGTAGAACTTTAATGAGAAACAGGAACGTGTAAAGCATTTTATTTTATTCCCGGGCTTGTATTTCCTATCATGATCTCCTTGATAGAGGGTTGCTGCTCACAAGGAAGCTATTAAACCAAGAGTTCCAAATGGTGAAGTTGAAGTCATCCCTTCGTAAATTTTATGGACGCCATCACGAGTTGGTTGACCGTTATGGAATAACCGTTTCACAGATGATATCGGATATGTTCCTTATGTCGTAATTACAATCCACTTCCTTTTTCACCACGAATGTGACCTACCGAATTAGACTATTTACCGGATTTGTAATAACATGAGCAAAACGACAGGTGCCACATGTGGAGCAGGTTCTGCTTACCCTTCCGGAGCACCTGAGATCACCCCCAGTTTTTGGTTGGGTTCGTGTTGCTTAGTCTTCAGTTTTCTATGTTGTGTCTTGTGTACTGTTATTTGTCTGTTTGTCTTTTTTTTATTTTTTGGCCATGGCGTTGTCGGTTTGTTTTCGATCTGTGAGTTTGACTGTCCCTCTGGTATCTTTCGCCCCTCTTTTTATAGTGTGAAACATAACTTATAACTACATATAGATGATATTGTTAGTTATCTTGGTGTAATCGGGGGTGTACGGATTTTTACACAGGTGTTGAAAATTCGTTGTAAACTTCCATACACCCTGATTACACCAAGGAAACAAATTAATTTCTTATGAAACGTTCCTTTGCTTAATTTTTTACTTTTAGCATTTGTTTTAGTTGAGTTTTCCACTACAACCTTTTTTATTTTGAAATGTGTAATTTTTACTTGAGTCACCGAAACGTTCATGACAAATCATATGACCTGCTGATTTCAACAAATTTTTTTATAAGAAATAAGATGCTTTATTTAGGAGAAGAGTTGACGTCGACGATAAACTAAGCCTGCACAGATACCGCTAAGGCAGATAATTTTTTTCATTGGACATCTCCACAGTGTTCCGAATGCTTTCTAGCAATTCTATTAGCCAATTGTATTTTATACCGCAACACTGTATTCCGTTTGAATGGTTACAAACGGAAACAATTAAAAAAAACCTCGGAGATGAAATATCTCAAAATCATTACATAAATAATCCAAAACTAATGAGAGCATTTGGTGTTTCTAGCTCCAATTCTGAATAAAAAAATCACATAAGAAAAATTGCAAAATATATTTGTTTTTACCTGTGCAACCAATTTTTATGAGGTCATTCATTCAGTGTTTCGATATTTTGACACGGTCCCACTATTTTCGTAGTCAGTGTAGGTATCAGTGTCGGCGTGAGTGTATGTTTAGACGACTTTTTAAAAATGTCTATATTTTGGATGAAGCCTCAACGTCTATCAATTTAAAATATGAGTTGTTATCAAAATTTTAGATTTCAACAATTCTCTTTGTCTTTAAGAAATAAGTAGTGCTTTACTTTCAAAGGTTTTTTTTAAATCCCCCAATTTTTTTGAAAATATTCAGAATTCTATAATTCGTGAAAATTTTTCACATTCCCTTTGAGGACCTGTCAGTAAAAAATGTAGACTGTTCCTCCCGGCCCTGACACCCTTTTAGGAAAACTCCGGTTTAAAATCGAAAATCTTCTTCTTCTTATGTTAGATACCAAACACACTCAGTATAGTATCAAGTAAATGAATTAAAGGGGTGAAGAAGTAAAATAATTGCAATTTTACTCTATATACTACAGTTGGTTTAGAAGATGTAGTTATCATCCATTAAACAATTTAAAGCGTAGATGGATCATATGTTATGTAAACAACTGGGCTCAAGATATGCAAGTTAGCAGTCATCGTGTTAACAACAGGACTTTGCAATATCTTATGGTTTTTCTTTTACGAGATATAATATGTATAGACAGAGGATAGGTTTGTGCGCATACAAAGCATGTTTAACCCATTTCGGGACTATACATATGAAGGCTATCTTGGCATGCATTGTCGCTTTTGTTTGTTTTAATAATCTCTCCTTATACAGCAATTATAATGTAACAATTTCTGGATCCTCAGTCCTTTTTGAAAATTTCTTTGAATGTCTCATTGCTTCATGACTGCCCTGCCAATGTTGAATACAGTAAGAATCTTTTATATCAGAAACTGCTAGACAATTCTAACTAAACAAAACGAAATCCTTTATACTAAATCAGCTTTAGGATAATGTGCCCTTTCGTTGTTTGAAAATACAAATTTTACAAGTATCTTGTCCTGGGGAGGTATAAATCCTACTTTGTAAAGAATCACTCTGATTCAAACAAAAAGTTTTCTAAAACTGACATTATCAAGATGCTTGATTTCTTGATTGACAACATATTTGTTACTTTTGGAGGACGTGTTTTTCAACAGACTCTCGGAATTCCAATGGGAACCAATTGTGCCCCTCTTCTTGCCGACTTGTGTCTTTATTATTATGAGGCTGAATTCATACAGGAACTTCTTAGGAAGAAAGATAAGAAGTTAGCAATATCCTTTAACTTTACGTTCCGCTATATAGATGATGTTCTCTCACTAAATAATACAAAATTTGGTGACTATGTTGAACGAATCTATCCAATCGAACTAGAGATAAAGGATACTACAGATACCGTTAAGTCTGCCTCATTTCTTGACTTACATCTAGAAATTGACAATGAGGGTCGGTTGAAAACAAAACTTTACGACAAAAGAGATGATTTCAGCTTCCCAATTGTGAACTTTCCATTTCTATGTAGCAACATTCCAGCAGCGCCTGCATACGGAGTATATATCTCCCAATTTATACGATATTCCCGGGCTTGTATTTCCTGTCATGATTTCCTTGATAGAGGATTCCTGCTCACAAGGAAGCTATTACACCAAGAGTTCTAAATGGTGAAGTTGAAATCATCCCTTCGTAAATTTTACGGACGCCATCACGAGTTGGTTGACCGTTATGGAATAGCCGTTTCACAGACGATATCGGATATGTTCCTTATGTCGTAACTACAATACCCTTCCCTTTTCACGAATGTGACCTACCGAATTAAACTATTTACCGGATTTGTAATAACATAAGCAACACGACGGGTGCCACATGTGGAGCAGGATCTGCTTACCCTTCCGGAGCACCTGAGATCACCCCCAGTTTTTGGTTGGGTTCGTGTTGCTTAGTCTTTAGTTTTCTATGTTGTGTCATCTGTACTATTATTTGTCTGTTTTTATTTTTATTTTTGGCCATGGCGTTGTCAGTTTGTTTTCGATCTATGAGTTTGACAGTCCCTCTGGTATCTTTCGTCCCTCTTTTATAAAGGAATCCGCAGCCTTTCCCCTCGTACTCCTACATTTGACAATTCGATGCTTAATAGACAGA